GTAGTAGTAGTAGTAGTAGTAGTAGTAGTAGTAGTAGTAGTAGTAGTAGTAGTATAACTATTATTATCGTCATAATAAAAGAAATAATAATAATAACAATAATGATAATAATAATTATTATTATTACTATTATCATTATCATTACTTTTATCATTATCACTATCATAATTATTATTCCTGTTGTTGTTGTTGTTGTTGTTGTTGTTGTTGTTGTTGTTGTTGTTGTTGTTGTTGTTGTTGTTGTTTTTAACTTTTTTTGGGGGGGGTGAAAGTTTGCTTAGTTTTGGTGTAGTTTGCTTTATGTTATTGTTTATTTTCTTTGGTTTTTGTTGGACGTCTCGTTGAATTAATTGATTAATTCATAATATAGTTTTTCCACGCACATCGACACAATTTAGGTCACTTAGGAGGTGATCTTCTGTCTGTCTGAGCCTACCCGGACTGAGAAGGATACAACATCCCAGCAAAAAGACCGTGATACTGGATAAAAATTCTCCCCGTTCGGGGAATCTAATTCGGGTCTCTTCTGATCTTCTTCTGAATGCGACGGCGAAGCATCTAACCGCTTTTCGTTTTTTTGTTTTTGTTTTTTGCTTCTTTTTTTTTAATAAGTGTTTTACGGCGCTCGCAGCTGCATAAGGTCATATGAGCGCACGGGACACATTAAACATTTTTCAATCGGTTGGAAATTTTGAATTACGCCCGGTGGCGGCGAAACCTACTCTTATCGATTTTAGACCACCAAGGGATCTTTAATGAGCGCAACTTGCACACGGGACCTCCGTAAATCTTTCCCACCAGAAGATCAGGGGTGTGGCTGGAAGACAGCAGTAAGAAGGAGCCAAAGAGTAGCAGTAGAAAGGCTGCAGAAAGAGTCAGGAGCTTAGAGGAGGGGGCTAAGGGGTGAGGGGGTTGGGGATTGGGACAGAACGTGGAGACGAAAGCAGACAACAGAACATTGTTAGAGAGCAGGAAAGGAGATGAAAGGAGACAATGTTAGAGAAGAAAATGTAACCATTGCTACCCGGATTCGAACCTGGGACCTTTGAATCAGAGGCGAACACCTTAACCTCTAGACCACGAGAGTCCCCATCTAACCGCTACACCACGGGTGCCAATGGCGGTCAGTGTTCCTGTTGTTGTTGTGTTTTTTTCTGGGAATTCTTTGAAATGACGGGGAAAGAGGGGAGGGGGTAGGGGGGGGCTAGGAAGATCGAGGAGGGTGTTGGAACGCTGGGAGGGAAAGACAGATGATAAATCTGTTGCCTTTGAAAGCGAGGCCACAATATTGCTGTATCATTCACTTGCCGTTGCTGCTCTTTCTGAGTCCTGTGTCCTGAGTAGCGTTCACAATGTCAAAGCTCTGTCCGTGTCAACAGGAAAGGTCTTCCCGTGTCCCCCAGTGCATGTCCCAGGTGGTTACTGTAACCTGCATGACAAACTCACTACACCCTCTGACCTTTTGTTAATTCTGTAGTTGTCTCCCCTGATGTCCCCACGGGGACAAGGGGCAAGCACTCTGCAACCAAAAACTGGGCCGCCCGTCTCGTCTGCCCTTCGACTTCCTTCATCGGGTTTTGGCTATTTTTTTTATTTTTTTTGGGGGGGGGG